AGACGTTGAAAAGCTCGAACAGGGACATTAAGACATATCCCCACTCCCTACCTAAAACATTGAAATGCTTGAAAAGAGGACAAGCTTATTCTACCCTGCCACTAGGCCCTATACATGGTTGGCCTTGGCATACGTATCCGGTTGTGGCCATATAAGAAAAGGGATGGCCACGACATGCACCTACCAAAGCTGTCCCAAATGAACAAAAAGACACAAATAGGAAACACAAAACAGAATTCAGCATGCCACCAGCAACTATCACGCAAAAACCAATTAGCACAATTAACCGTGGGTATTTGAGGTCCAAACCTGTACTAAATCAAAAACGCCTATTAATTCCATTCTTTGCTAGACTGTCCGCAGCACAATTTCCCCCTCCACTAATCAGACGAAGAGAACCACCACACCTGGAAACAGCAGCCTTACAAGCTTCAACTAAATCCTTGAAGCTTACAGGCGCAAGCTCTGAGTACTTAATCCAATGGATAGAATTACTGCTGTCCGATTCAAAAAAATTATATCAGCAGCCCCGAACCACTCAGATGCAAGGAACAACATGCAAGCTTCTTTAATGGCTAATAATTCCGCAGAAGCAGGACCCGAATTTCCATTAGCTCGCAAAAACTGAATCAGCGTTTTACCATTGTGGTTTCTACGTAAGCCTCCGATCCCAGCATGTCCAAAGTCACCTGCCACGGCACCATCCGAATTAATTTTTTAGCACCTTCTCGCATGGGGGTTTTACCATTGTTGAACCTTCGCACCCTTTATATGTTATTATATGCACTCTTTTCTTCCGACTAAGTTTAGAGGAGTTTTTAATAAAACGTATGTTAATATCTCTTTTATTTGTTTCATTCTTATGAACCCACACTCTTTCCAAAAAAAAAACTTTTTATTTTTATCTATAATATCTAATTGATTTGTGACATCAATTTATACATGAATTTACATATTAAAATAAATATAAAATTACTTTAATTTTCATCCAATTACAAAAATTTTAGGGTGACTTCGACTAACAACTAAAATAACACGATATATAAATTTATTAATTTTGAAATTGAAGCGTAAATTAAGCTATAATAATGTGATTTGACAAAAGTATTGTAATTAATTTATGGATGAATTGTTGATTTTTTTTACGTGAGAAGAAAATATATCGTCTAATTAAAAGTTATATAAATAATATATTATTGAATTAAAAAGGATGACTTTAGATGTTACTGTTCACTCATAACAATTAATAAAGCAAAAATAGTTTTATTTTCATAAAAAGTTGTTATTAGTGAATAGTGACCTCTAAAGTCATCCTTTTAAGAAGCCATATGATAGTTGGGGCATATGATAGGATAATTGGTGAATGACAGTGAATGAAAGGGCCCCAACAGCTCACGCCACCCTATACATTTCAAATAAAAATGGGTAAATTATAACATGACTACTTAATTATCGTTCTTTTTCATTTTGACCATTGATCTTTCAATTTTGTAAATCAAACTACTTAATTATTTAAGTATTGTCAATTAAGTAATCAACGGTTCACATTTAAAGAATAAATTGAAGTGGTTGTTAAAAAAATAGTATAATTATATATTTAGTCCTCAATGTTTACACATTTAAATGGATTTTCGTTGATTTTGTGTGGACTTCGTAGAAAACTAATCTTAGGATAAGAAAGATGAGCGAAATACAAACGTTTTAATATCGTTTTTATTGCGAAACTTGACCGACGATTGGCTTCCTACAATGATAGCAAAGTGTAGTGTTAAAAAATAAATTGTTTAAAAATTCAGTGACAAAATTGACACACACATAATGTTTAATGCCTAAAACGACGTTGTTTTAAGCATTAAAAAATCCGTACCAAAACAAGTTGTTTTAGTGTGGTATGTCATTTCAACAACCGTTAATCATGTCATTGTTATGTTATTGGCTTAATGATAGATTGACTTAATTAAATATAAAACTAAAATTCAATATTATAATTAATAAAATTATAAACTCAATAATATACACAAATCAACTAATGAAATTTAATGATATATAATGTAATTTACGCTAAATAAAAATTAAACACACTAAAAGTATCTTTATATGACCCCAAACGCAAAAAAAAAATCCAAATCCCTTAAAAATACCATTAAATTATTTGTTAATCACATAAAATACCAAGATTGCCACAATAAAAGATAACTCAAACCACAGAACATGGTTTCACGTAGGGTTGAAATAGTCTTCATGAGGTATAGTCTACAATTTTGTTTGTTTTATATGGAAATAAGCTGCCCGCAGTGCCCGAGAAAAAGTGGTAGTTAAGACAACTAGGGATGGCAAACGGGCAGGTCGGGTGCGGATACCCCCTCCCCCATCCCCATACCCACCTAATATTTTTCAATCTACCACCCGCCCACCACCCATGGTGGGTACAAATTTTCAAATCCACACCCGCCCACGCGGGTACATTCTCAAATCCATCCCCACACCCACTACCCACTAGCGACGTACTCGTCTAGACATGCCTGACAGCAAACTTAAGTTATACATAATCAACAAACATAAAAAAAACATGTTCATTAAGAAACATAATAAAATAATCCAAGGATTATCTAAGTTAAGTGTTAATATAGATCTTAAAATACATAAAACACCATAATAAAGGACATAATTAAAGTCTAGAAACATAAATGACAAACACATAATATTTTTGTTCTTTGGCACAACATTCTAAAATTTCAGGCAATATTTGTGACATATAATACTCAAGTATTACAATCATCATTCTCTATTTCCTCCAACTGAGAGCGCTCCAACTTAAATTCACTACTACCTACATATATAATAGAAAGTAAAACTAATATAAGTTAGTAACTAAACTTTAATAAGATAATTAAGCACAATTTGACAACTAATATAAACTAAATAATAATATTACCTTTAATATCGACCCAAAGCCAATTTTGAGCATACATTAATGCTTCAATTGTCTCCGGAAGTAGTCGACTACGATAAGGACCAATTACTCTTCCACCTATACTGAATACAGATTTTGATGGGACAATGGAGACAATAATGCCCAAAATATCATTTGCTATTTGTTGGAGAGTTGGATAAATTACATGTTATATCTTATACAATATTAGAATTTATAAGTTAGTCTCTAAAATTACACCTAAATTCATAATGGTCCAAAATTTAATGGATATTTAGCTGGGCGGGCCGATGTGGGGCGGGCGGATGCGGGGCGGATGTGGGGCGGGTAATGTCTTAAACCCATTACCCGCCCACCACCCGCGACGAGTACCACTTTCTAAATCCATACCCGCCCACTACCCGCTAAAATTATACCCATCCCCGCCCCAATTGGAGCGGATGCATTGCGAAATTTATAAAACTGTACCCGTTTGCAAACCGTCTGCAAACGGACACTAAAAAATGTCTAATAAAATATTACAATCAATTTTTTTTTTTGTATGCACTTCCATGAATGTTCCCATGACCCCATCTCATGTGTATATAAATCCACCTTCATGCAACCCCATTACTGCTTGTCTCAATTTCCCTTTGTCTTCATTTTCCTTCTCTTTAGCAACAATACTTTTGCTAGGGAAATCTACCAAGAGACTACAACAACAAAATGGAGGCATTGAGGACGAGACTATTTTTCGCCATGGTTGTCGTGTTGATGGCCGTGTCGGCAATCCAAAACGTCGCAGCAGCCGATGCTCCGGCCCCTAGCCCTACCTCGGATGCCACCGCATTCGTGCCCACGGTGGTTGCTTCCCTTGTTGCTCTTGCGTTCGGTCTCCTCCTCTGATGAAATAGTATTAGTTTTTTTTTTCTTTTTTCTTGGAGGGTTGATATTTCACGATTGGAGTTTACGTAGAGTTCTTCTTGTCTAAAGTTGTCTTCTTTTATTATTTCTTTCTTGAGATTGTTTTTTATTTGTATTTTGTTTTCTATTTTCCTACTTATTGTAATGTATAATTGATGTGATTTTGTTTCAAATGAATTATGTGTTTGCTTGTAATTTCTATTTTAGCTTTTTAATTTATTTATTTTCCATGTCAATTTGTTCCTCATTTACCCTAAAAAAAGTCCATGAAGAAAAGAAGCAACTTTCATTGTATTTTGGTTACGAGTCATTAACTTGCTCACCCTTTTATCATTTATAAGTGTAAATCTTGGAATTAAACTTTCACTTTCACAGCTTGCTTTGGTTTAATTTGCCATTCAAATTCACGTACCAACATTCATAAACAAATAAATCTTCGTCATCATAGTAGATTTTTAGATATCATATTATAAAATAAATTATTATTTACACAAACATTATTAAAATGATAGCAAGAATCCTTAAAATATTTTGAAAATTTAATATATATATATATATATATACATATAACCTTATCATCATTTTAAGATTTATAGGATCATATTTTTACCGATAATATATCAAATAATAATTAAATTTAAACTTGTCTTCATGGTCTCGAGTAGAATTCAAATCAAATTAACCCAAGTTAAGCATTGATCGAACTTTGACCGAGTTGAATTCAAGCAGCTCAATTCATTAAACACCCTTAATCAAGACTAATACCGATGGAGGTCGTCGTCTTGACACCGGTTTCGTGACTTGTGGAGATGTTGTGATTTATTAGCAAGTTTATTTAGCCTCTATTTATTAAAAAATAAATAAATAAATTATGTAATATTTATATAATCGTTCAAAAGAATCCAAACAATCTAATAGTTTATAATTAGAGTTGATCATAACAGGCTTGTGAAAACCAGAGGCAGAGCCCACTGGACCGAATTCTCAAGTCTTAAATCATGAAAGGACATTTACGTAATTGAAAAAATACCATCAATATAATAACCCTCCACCAGAAAACCCTAAATCGATCTGATTAAAACCCTAGAACGCCTCTTCTTTCCTAACGATATTCTCTCATTGTTTGCCTCTTTGAGTAGCCGTGCGAGTGTAATCTGGGTTACGCATTTGGCTTAGTTAGGAGGCAGAGATGGCATCAGGGCTTTTGAGGGGACTCTTGAATTTTTTTCCTTCTTTCTCAATTGTCCCCCAAGCAGCCTTGTACATTTTCATTCTTTTTGCTGGGTGAATGAATGCCTCTCGAATAACCAGATGGTTAGAGTATAATACAACGCCGTTTGGTTCAGACAGGGGCTCACATCAAAACTCGAAACAATTTATTGTCAAGGAACGATTTTCTTCCGCTCCTTTTTCCTAGATTGTTCTCGTATATTCTTTGTTTTCAGGGTTTTTTTTTAAAAAAAAGGAAAGAAAATAAAGCATTATTCCACTATTCGCCATGGGATCACATCGGTTGATTTCATATTTTAATTAAGCCACTCAAATATCCTTTTGCCGTGAATTTAAAGCAAACCACAGCATTTCCCTTTTTTAACAAAATGAAATTAACTTTTTAAATAGAATGTAATACCTTGTTTGAGCATGATCATTATGCGCGTAGTTTTGTCTAATCTTTTCTAAAGTTAAATCAAGGGTAAATTACACGGTTCTTCCTTCAATTTTCTTCTCATTTTTATTTGATCACTAAAATTTTATTTTTCTTTAACTTAATTCCTCAATTTATAAATTGTTTGCACTTATTTTATTAATTTTCTATATAAATAACCTTAATTATAATTATTTACTAATATATATGATACATGAAAAAAATGTTGATGATTTTAATTAATGGGTTAATCAAACTTTTTATCCTTCCTCTTTCATTCTAAAATCAAAGGTTCCTTTTTTTTTATTGCCAATTGGGTTTACTCTTATTCAATTTAGTCCAAACTTTATATGATGAATCTAATTATGCTTACTAATTGATTCATCTTAATTTATATCAAGACTTAAACATTGATTTAAATTTTCAGATCGTTACAATAAATTATAAAAAAATATTAGGGGAAAAATTGAGAATCAATACTCATGCGTAAGAATTGATGAACCACAAGTGGAGATGCTTCATTATCGCAAGCCCATTAAGATTCCTTCTATTAAATTTTATCGGATAATTTACACTCTTAGTGTACTCGCACCATACATAAGAAAAATGAATCTCTTATTTCGAATCTAGAAGCACCTTTAATAGGGTTAGCGTTTAATTTAGTTGGAGAGTATTATTTTATAATTTAATTTTTTTAATCTAGTTGAATGTATAAAATTTGAGTTAAATTATTTAAGTTTTTGTTTAAATTTAATTATAAATATTTATAGGGTAAATTATATAAATAATCTCCTTTACTTTTGGCTTGATTGAATTTGGTCATTAATTCAAAAATTAAGTGGGTTTAGTCTATTACGTTATCGATTTAATATATAATGGTTCCTCGTTACGTGTGATGTGGCAATTAAAATATCCCAAAAAAAACACATCGGTCAACCAATTGTAATACACGTCGTCTCAGAAATTTTCAACGATTAATAATCTTTCTAATGTCACTTAATTTGGTAGATTAAATTAATTAATTGAAAATTGAACTTGGATCAGAGAAATGTAACTGACTGATTCAAGCTAATTGAATTGATCGATTGATTGAACATCCTACTTTTTTAGATATGTTGAGAGTCTGAGAGAAAACATAGTAGTAGAAACCCACCCGACAAAGTAGCTGATCGACCGATCGCTTCCCTCAGTCTATGCGTTTAGAGACGAAGCCAGACACGTCGAAATCCCCTTTCTCCAACGACCATTGCAAGCATTGGCAATGAATCCTCCCTCCGGGGCCGGGCCCAGGGGGTTGCCAGGAGTAACCCGGGCAACCCCGAATCCTTATATTTCAAATAAATTCTTATAGAAAAAAAATTTTATATAACAAAATTGTCTACTTAATGTTAATTTTTTCTAATTTTTTTAATTAATACAAGTATCACCTTTAATATTGTGCAATCCCTAAAAAAATTTATAAGCATTTTTTTGTACAACTTCTGAATTTTTATTCTGGTCCACCCCTGCCTCCCTCCCATTTCTGTTCCACCACAAATCAAGCTCTATCCTCTCATTATATCCAGCCTCGGATTAAGGAAACAACTCATCCTTTCTTCCACTAAAATCCAAACAAATCTACTGTTTCTCACTTGCATTTTCTTTGTCCCCCCCCCCCCGCACTTCTAAAGACTCTCCCCAATTTATTTATCCCTCTAGTTTTTAAGCAGTTGCAGAGGAAACAGTCTTATTAGGGATGATGGAAAACTTCATCACCACAAAACGCTACAACAATCGGCCCTGGTTTGTCTTACTATCCATCTTGACGTCTCCATTTTCTTCACTCTTCTTAACACCTTAAAAATGACCCCACTCTTTCACGAGGTGTCACAGGATCGTCGTACCAAGTAAAGAATGGACAATGAGTATTTTACCCATTTCCATAATTTTTACAAACGAAGAATCTCCTGCATGGATTATCATCTGTCCAAGCAGTTACTAACAATCTCAGCTGGTTGTCCAAGTCAATAAATAGGGACACCACTGCCTTTCATTCTTTTTCTGCCTCTTTTTCTTTTGCTTCTTCTTCTGCCTCCTCTTTTCTTAATGTTTTAGAAAAAGGGCTGTTAAGCGTTTTTAATCCTAGAATTGGCTCTTATAATATATATAAGTGTAAAATAATTTTATATAATGTAAATATTAATGAGTTTTTATTCTCACGTCACCAGGGACGGAATTATATGCAGTCTTAAGGGGGCCATTTTCATGGTTTTAAATAGCGTTCGTGGTCACGTTTTCGGTCGCGTCATGTTTATCACGGTTGCAGACATAACATATATTATTGTGGTCATTGCGGATATTACGATCGTGAATTTTTTAAAATGTCTAAATTAAATTTAATTAAAATAAAATTGTAAAATTTAATTGCATAAATTTATATTACTGAAATTAAAACTAAACTAAATAAAAATTAAAGTTTACATTTTAAACTAGAGATTAAATTATAAATTCTAAAAGTGGGAGGGATCTCAAATTAATATATCATTTAAAATTATATTTTAAAAATTATAAATAAAAAAAGAAATAAATCAACCCTCTCCCTACCTCGACCTTTGCCTCCCCTTCCCCACCTTTCTGGTTTTAACTCCTTCCCCCATCATCTTCTGAAACAAAAATGGTTTTGTCCCCTTCCCCCATCATTGTCTGAAACAAAAATGGTTCTGGCTTTCTGCCTCCCCTTCCTCCTTCCCCCATTATTTTCTGAAAAAAAAACTACGCGCACTAATGTTTTTATTTTGGAATCACGTTGGATAACGGTTGTTGCATTTCGTTATCGGCGCAATCGTCTGTTTCCCGTTAAATTGCGGGCGCAATCGACCGAGATTGGTGTGAATCCGTGACCCACCGCAAAAATCATGAAAACCAGTTTCGGTCGCGTTATATCACGGCCGCTATCACGTTTTCAAAACGCTATTTGATATCTTGGGCCCACTGCCTCCTCCCCCTAATTTTTTTATTATTAAAAAACATATGAGAATAAATATTTATTTAGACATTCAAGTTTTGATTTATTTTGATTTTGCTCATCCCATTTTTTATTGTTAATTATACTTTGCCTGCCTTTATAAAATCCGGGCTTTGTCCTTGCACGTCACTTATGGACGGTGACTTATTATTTTTAATTTGTCACATAATACTTTTGTTAATGGGTTAACGGAAGTTAACAACTGAAGGACTTAAACCGAATGAGATGATAACATAAGGGACCATACCCATTTAATTTTTGAATCGGTGACCAAATTTGGTCATATCGAAAATAAAGAGGACTATTCTTATAGTTTACCCATATTTTTAGTATTATGATACTATTTGATTATAATTTAAACGGTTTTTTATAATCATATATAATACATATATATTTCTTCATGTTTTTTATATGTAATATACATATATCATACAAAGTTGAGGGACTCCACTCAAACTTGAAAACCAATCAACATGTTACTAAAAATTTTGAGTTATTCAAGTTCTATTTTATTACTCAGCTAGAATTTAATTTTTTTTTAATTGAATCGAATTTATAAAAGGGTAAACTACGTAAATGGTTATTATTGTTTGAGTAAGTTTTCATTTTCACCACTGATTCAAAAGTCATAAATCGATCACTAGCATTATCGTTTGTTACAAATTGGTCATTCGACGTTAACAGTCATTAACAGGCATGACGGAAAACACAACTGGCGCGTTAACTGCTTACATGGACTGGGTTGGTTGGGTTAACCACCACATTGGAGACCCAAAAGCCTTCAACGATCAACTCTTCTCCTTAAAAAAAACCAATCCCTGAACTTAATTTAGGTTTTTAATTCATATCTCTATTCTTTAAAAAAATTCTAAAAATTGTAAGAGAAGAGAAACCCTGTGAAGATAGAAGACTCCATTGATGTTCCGCTTTACAAATGTGGATTCCCAGCTAAGCTTTTATTTTATATTTTATTTTCTATCAAACCTAAAAGAAACTTACCATAAAGCATAGCATCGTCCCCCCTTTGTCGTAACCTCCATGTAAGTACGATGGTTTTTCTTTGCTCATTTTTCTCACTACTTTTTATTTCAGACGAATTAAAGAAAGAGAAACGAGTTTATGGAAGAAGAAGAAACGGGTTTATGGAAGAAGAAGAAACGAGTTTATGGAAGAAGAAGAAGAAAATGATTGTCGAAGAATAATGATTCATAATGGTAAATGAAACCCTTGATCCCCTATTAATTAGGGTAAATTACACAGTTGGTCACTAAAGTTTGAGTAAGTTTTCGTTTTCTCGTTAAAATTTCAGAAACGTGGTGGTTAACCTAGTCCATGTAAGCAGTTAACGCGTCAGTTGTGTCTTCTGTCACGCCTCTTAACGGCGAGTGACCAATTTGTAACAAAAGATAATGTTGGTGATCGATTTGTGACTTTTGAAACATCAGTGGTGTAAACAAAAACTTACTCAAACATTATGATCATTTACGTAGTTTACCCTTTATAAAATTACGAGTTGAATCAATTCAAGTTGAATTTTTTTCAAATCAAATCAAGTTGAAAGATAATTTTTTCCAAATCAAATCAAATTTTGCTCAATCCTAATTCTTATACATTAGACTAATGATAACTTCACCCTTAATATAATTAATCTTATGTACCGCAATAATAATATCACTCTCGACCAAATCTTAACGTAACCAAGGAGAGCAGTGAGTCAAAGTGGTCCATGAATGGTGGCATTACAAAATACCAGTAATCAAATTTTGAACAACATGCATGTTTGTCGTCATATTATTCTTACAAACCAAAACTCATCAAAATCACATGGCCAATTGGCAATAAGACCCATAAATCCAAGATTCCATTAAAAAACAAAAACCAAATTTGCATATTTTGGAATACTATTCAACAGTTTAGGCCTACACACGGCAACCCCAACTCACCCACAACTTGCAATGATTCTCAGTATCCAACACATCCTTCCAAGAAACCCAATCACATCATTCTATTTCTAGTAAACTCGTATCACCTCTTTTTATGAGGTAAACTACGTATTTAATTATTCTCACAAATTTATTTTGATCAGTTAATCATTATTTTTTAAATCATATTCAAGATTACATTTGATCTACTTTTATCAATGTTCATTTAAAAATTAACGATAATATTCAGATATTATCATAAGATAATATCAAATCACCATTGAAAACGTAAAAAATTATTAGGTCAATAATTTTATTTTTTAACGGTGGATAACCTAAACTAAACTAAAATGTAACTTTAAATATAATTTTAAAATAATAAATTTTTATTAATATAGGGTAATTACAAATGGAAGTATTTGTTCTAAGGATTCAACCATTTGACATTGAATGCTCAAATATCTTATCGTATTGATACTCAAACCCAAAACTTCTAAGAATGACAATTACTTCTTTAATCATTGAGATAACTTGATTTATACATTTTAAAAGAATAGTTGAATAATAAAAATAAAATTATAAAAATAATTAGGTAACTTAATATATAGTTTATCCTTTAAAAAAACTTTCAGAAATGGTGGACAATTTGTTCTGAGGTGGGACATGAATCAATAACTCTTATCTGTTTGGGTGTGCAATCAATCAGTCATTTTCATTGTTTGTTAAAATATCTTCATTTGATTTTAATTAAGGATATAAAATTCATTTGACAGCTAAATGGGTGGATTTTCCATTTTTGGGGTTGCATTTTGATTTAAAACTCAGCCAAGGCAGATAATTTAATAGGAAAAGGAACTGTCTTTTTGTTTTGAAATTGATACTATAAAAAAGTATACAGTGTTCTTGAAGAAAATAATTTCAAAGACATGTTTATGCACTCTATTTTAGTTTTATTTTGTGTAGGGTTCACCCCCAACAAATAAAAAGATAATATAGTAAAAATATTTAACTCATATAAGGGGTTAAAAAATTGTTTTTTCAATTAGGATAATTGCTATAGTATTCATTAAAAAGTGTTGGAGTCATCCCGACTATTTCTAGAAAACGTCCAATTAAATCGACGAGTTTTGAATAATATAATTTTCGATTTTCAGAATCCCTACTACTGGATTATACGTAACTGAGAAGACGAGTATCTTCATATGTCTTTACGAAGATATCATATCTTGTATCTTTTTAAAGATATCAAGTTATCTAAATAATTTCTTATTGATATTATAGTATTTACATTATATCAATAAATGATTTTTTCACATTCCATATTAAATATTTTTTTATTTAAACCATTATTTAAGCAAATTTGCCCGTATCATCATTTTAATTTTTAAAATATAATCTTAAAATATTACATCGTCACATATAAATAGAATTCAAGTTAAAACGACTTTAATACATATCAAAATTCTATAAAAGAAAATACATATAATAATATATAGGAATCATAAAAAATCTCAAATCTAAATATCAAACGTTATTTTATTATATTTTAATAGTTATAAAATTTTCTCTATTTTCAAATTATGACTTTTAAAAAAAAATAGTTTGACTTTTGATTTTTTTTAAATATTAAAAATAAATTCAAAACCAAAGATTTATGTGAAATCTTTGAAAATTTAAAGAACTAAAATATATCCACTAATTTTATTTTTCTTAGTAAAAGAGGTGCAGCCATGGCAGGAACTATTCCATGAGAATAAATCTAAAATGACAGGCTTAAAGCAATGAAAATCTTGCTAGATTTACCGCCCTCGAGTATTTCCAACTGCGATCAGAATTTGCAGACATTTCACTAGCAAACTCCCACATTGTGAAAACTATACTTGCATGTATGATCAGATCAAGATACAATCAAGTGGCTAAATTAAACACCACAAAAAATATGGATTATCATGGATTTAAATAGAGGATTGTTATTGGAATATCATCTACTATCACTGCAATAGAAATAAATGTAATATAACCGAAAATATGACAACTAAAATTTAAATCATGATCCATATACCCTTTTTATGTACAAAAACAGACATGGAGATCAGTTTATGGTTCTCCAGGAGACATAGCTTTTAAACACCATCATAGAAACCACCAAATGTTATGTGAGCCCTGGTGATTGGAACTCCTCTAACTGCAGAGATTGCTTCATTCAGTTTTGTTGATTGATGAACCACTTGTTTCATCCTCTGCGATCACAAAATTTACTAAAAAATATGGCAAAAGTTTGCTGCAACCTTCATCAGATCAGTTAAAAACATAAAATTTACAGAGTTTCCTGTGGAATTTGATTACCTTTTCATCGGTGTAACGCTGAAACAGCAGTTTCTGGTTCAGTAGGTGTTGTTTTTGCCTCTGTTGAGTTCCGAATATGATGATACAAAAGGTAGCAGCAGCAACCCCGAAGGAGCAAATAGCTCCGATGCCCCTCAAGCTCCATTTCCAAATCCCACCGGAGTTGTCTTCCAAGTTGGCTTTGTTTTCGACCGAGTCCTTGAATTTTGGAGAGCGCATGTTCTGCAAAAACTCACCGTCGTCGTCATCGAAATCAAATGTACCTGCAGCGTCGAGTTGAGGGATGGATCCTTTAGTAGTGGACCTGGGTGAGTCCATTTTGTTGGTCATGTCGACGGATTCATTGTTGTAACTCGGTTTCCTGAAAGAAATCTGTGTCTTCACTTCCCGGTCGCCTTCAACCGATTCGATACCGGCTTCTTTGATCTTCTCCAGGATCATCGACGGCGTAGAACTGAAATCGATAGGTATGCTTTTCGGATCATTAGGAATTCTGGGTTCCAATTGAAATGGCTGGTTTTTGTCAAAATAATCGGCGAGTAAAACGAGATCGGAAACTCGGTTCCCTCCGTGGATTTGCTTCTTCTCGGAATCTTGGTTGATTTCCAGGAATCTGTTGTCGGGCAAGAAAACCCAGTCATCAATATCCATTTCCTGGTGAATCATTTTTAGGGAGGAGGGTTGTTGAATTATTGAATCAGAAAATATGGGTTTTTACATGTGGGATTTCCAGTGATAGAGTGAAAGATTAAACCTTTAAATTCGACATTGATGAGCTTATCCTTGGAAGAGGAAGACAAAGTAAGTATGGCCCACGTAGAGAATACCTTGTCTTACAAGATACTAACACCTGTTTCAGGATCTAGTCGATGGAGAATTATTTTATTTACCCTATATGATACAATCGTCCATGGTCTGGCATCTTCCGTTATTTGATTGTTTTTCCTTTTATTATAATTTCTCTACATTTACTTTTTAATTATTATTTTTAAATTATGCCCATCTTAATTTAATAAAATTGTGTCTTAATTTATAGTTTTTTATTTAATTAATTTCAAGGTTTTTAATTTTAAATTAATAAAAATTATATCTGAATTCTTTTATTTTTGTGATTTATATACTTTTTACCTTAATATAACAAAATTATCTAAATTTAAAAAATAAACACATAATTGCTTTTAGGATTTGTTCTCTCTCTGTTTTTTTCATAGCCACCATTAATCTTTTTTTTTATCTTTTTAATTGACGACATCACTAGTTTTGATACTAGTTGATTGTCGACTGTCAATATTCACCGGGTTTTTTGTTTTTTTATAATAATTTTATCTTTTTGACATATATTTTTATGCTTTTTATAACATACTTTTCTCTGTCTCTATGATACGTTTTAGGTTGTTTAGCCGTTTTTTTAGGGTTGAATTTGACATTGTCACAACTGATTAAGATGATGTTTATTTGTTATCATGATAATCTTCATTGTTTTGGACCTTCTGGTTGAATTTGAATATGCGATTTGCATTAGTGTATAGTATTGTTGGATATATGAACTGCAAAACTACATCGTTAGCATTGACTGGAAATATAAACAGTAATTAAAAGGAATAAATTCGTAAACCATGTCGTGGTAAAAATCACTGCCTTAGAAACGAATTCGCCCCGATGTGTGTAATCGCTGCAGTAGGCAGGCCGTCCCCCGAGGTTAACACGGTCGCTCCGAATTTCGTACACCCGAAACCGGAGTGGATTGCTGGTGGTATTGCTCTTCTGATTGGAAAGCACTCAGAGAGAACTCACAGAGAGAATTGTAGAAAACACTTTTGTAAGTGAATTGTGAATGTTTGAGAGTGAGTTGAGAAGCTGAGCCGACCACGACCACGACCACTACTCGAGCCGTGCCGAGTCGAGACGGACGGACTACGGCGGTGGTGCGCGAGAGTCCCCCTTGTTCTCTATCACTCAACAAGAAAGTGGGAAAGCCAAGCCTTAAATACTATTCCCAATAGTATTTCCAATACTATGTGGGATTAAGCATTACCAACAAGTATTTTGACATCGCTCGATTTTGATTTGCTGTATGTCGGTGGTCTTTCAATATCTTTATTCTCTTTTGTGGTTCACTTACCGATGCAATCAGATTTATTCGTATTTATTTTTGTTCGAGTTTATTTGATTATATTTTTTTAACATTTTTCCTTGTATGGTCATTGATATTAAGTTGCTAGTTTTTTTGTGTAGAAAAATATTATTATTATATGTTTAGTTTACAGTTGTGGTTGTAAAATTTCATTGTAATTTTGATATTTTTTATTTAATAAAATTAGTGGTTTTTAAAAAAATATCTAAATTATATCTCTTTTTTCATCTCGGTGTCTAAATTTTTTTCGATTAATTAAGATGTCTAAAATTATAAATATTATTATTTTAAGTTTCTCGACTCTAATTAACATTAGAAAGTTTCATTAAATGACACATGTTGTATTTATATAATTTTAAAATTTTTATTTAAAATAAAAACTTAAAATTATATATTTTTTAAAAAACTAAAAAAAATCAAATCTAAAAAAAAGCCATAAAACTTCGAAAACCCTGATTCGAATCTCTATATCCACGTCAGTCGCTACAGTTGCCATCGTAAGTGAACACCCATCAACCATCGACGGAACTCATCACTGGCCACCCACTCCCTCATCAGTGCGAGACCACTAGCCACCGTCAACATCGCCGGTCACCAACCTTTGAAGTCATTACATCGCAGCATCCACTCACCACCAGAGCCTTCTCTATTTCGGATAGTATTTACGGTTCTACCTTTTTCTTAGCAATTGGCTTTCATTTTCATGGTTTTCATGCCCTTTATCAATCATTTTTCTTGGTATGTCGCTCCGCGAGCAAGTAGATCCAGGGACGAGCAGAGAGAAAACAAAGTTAGGGGAAATCCTTTATAGACCCATGTCTTTCTTATTCCACTAGCTAGGTCAATAAATCCAAGTCTTTGGGTAGCACTACTAGATCTTCAACAAGGTAGAAATGCTAATATTGGGTAGAAGGGTGACATGGGACAAGGGGAACGAGGGAGCGTGGGACAGTGGGGAAATTGTAGAGGGAGACGGATTAGAGGGAGGGGACGAAGGGGGATTTTTTTTTAATATTTTTAATTAATATTTTATTTTTTAATTTTAAATAAAATTTTCAAAATCATATAAGTATACGCTTTACTGAACATAATGTTTTGACATCAGTCACTATTACACTTAAAATAGTAATATTTGTAACGTTAAATATCTAAATTAATCAAAAAAAAATTATACACTTAATTGAAAAAATAGATATAATTTAAATATTTTTTGTACTAAGCCTTCACTTTTTAAACTAATAGGTAAATTAAAATTAATTAATTTGTCCCCTTTATAGATCATCTTAAATTGATACATTAATCTGACATTAATGATGATAAATATGTGTTTACCAAATTAATATGAAAAGTACCAAACATTCATATTTTTTTTTTCTTTTTAATTTGGTAAAGGAGGATTTAATTTAATAAAAAAAATTCAACTAAGCCGAACCTAACAAATTGTTTCTTCAATAGATACCTTTTTATTTGACATATGAATTTACATTCGAAATAAATTATCATTTCATACCTTTCAGATTAAACTAATTAATCACTAAATCATTGAGAGAGATAGAGAGGAGCATTATCTATTTTGTAGGCATTTTGATTGGGCAAATAATATTATCTGCAACGCTTGTAAGATATAGAGAGCAGTTAAATAAGCTTTTACATTCCATAGATGTGAGGTAAGAAATGTTCCAACAAATAGAGTGATATACACACCAGAAAGAAAGAAGAAAACTGTTCTCAAATATACATGCTACTTGATTTCCTCCCAAAAAACACCTACAACTCAGTCAACAGATTTTGATATCAAGACTATCAATGGGATTTAATAAAAGCATCACCGAAGTTCGTAATGCGCTACCCGATCGATATGCTCCTTCATGTGTTTTAGCTTAGCTCTGAAAAACTCCAAACTAGGATGAGGGTGATGATCTACCCGAAGAAGATTCGCCCAAAGAGACCGATGCCAGTGAAGAAGCCCAAACACGGGCACTCTTGGCACCTTGATGGAAATTCCTGGTTTTGCTCAGCCTCAGTTTCGTCCAAACTCTCCTCACGTCGACCATGTGAAGTGCTCGCACAAACAATTGACCTGTCTCGCCAAATATTTCCAACTTCAAGTGTGGAGCATATGAAACCCAGAAAGCCTTGAGACGAGACATAACTTTAGGGAATATGGATAGAAGCCCTCTGAAACAGAGAAACAATAAGGCAAATGCTAAGTAGGGCTCCCGTTTTACGATCTCCATTGGGGTTTCATTCCACAACTGTATCATGTATTCATTGTCGTCTCCTGATACAACTGATTCGCTTTCAGCAATATATTGAACTGGTTCAAATCCTAAAATGCAGACACTCGTGTTAATAAACTTGGAATTATGCTCAACTCACAAACTAGAGTTTCGTATAAGGAGATACAGTTCAGTTATGCTTCTTAGTACACAGAAAAGCAATTTTTATGTTGCAAGATTTTTTCCAACTAAAGACATAGCTGACATTGCCAATGTCCAGGGTCATCTACTTGATAAGCTAAAGCAGTAAAAGATATATTTTTGGCAGAGAGCAAATACCTGTTGTTTTCTCATAGAATTGTACGATTGAGGGGATGTCTGTTGAACCAAGATATCGTACCCTTGAAGTCTGGTTCACTATTAAAATTGACGGCAAGCTACGAATTCCATACTTTGAAAATATGCTGTGATAGACACATATCAAAGGCATTAGTTATGAAAATTATAATTAAATTTCAACGGTGAGAAAAAAGAATGGTTATTTGATTAATAAGTCTGTTTCACGTATTAATAATCACAAAAGGTATGCCGAGGTAAAGAAGGTTATTCATAAAGAATTTTTTTCAGGCATCGATTAAGGACACATTAAGAAGTACAAAAGAAGCATCACACAGTAAAAATATATATAAACATTCGGTATTTTACTTAAGTAGCAGACATGAGCATCATCATTGGCCAGATGCACAATAGCAAAAAAATATAATTGATCGGAAACTACCCCAAAAGCCATAATTACTTTGTAAGTATTGGACTTTGGATATAGGTCTTTGATTCCACAAGTTACAGTTATACTACATACCATTACCAGACAAATCACTTCAGTTGATATGTGCGCTTGCACGCATGCTTTTTACTTAAGGAAGCTTTCAAGTACATTTGGTCATGGTGCACCAAACAGAGAGGTTCAACACAGGAAACATCAATAATTTAATTAGTTCACAAATACCAATACTTAAAGCAGGATAAGTAGCTGCATACCTCGGTGAAGCTGAAGACTGTTCAACTGCCAGATGCTCTACCTGAGGGAACATGGAACTGAGAGTGTCGAACTTCGGGTACAACTGCGTGAAAATGGGCACCAGGAAGCATAAAAGAGCACAGAAGTGTAACCACTTCTCTGTTTGGAAATCAATGCTCGGTCAAGGAAGCTGCCATCCACCTGCAAGGAAAATTATAAACATGCATATAAGATTATCAGAAGGTTTGTCTCCAAGAAACAGCAAGTTGTGCAAAATATTAATCCTTGAAATACAATCAAATGG